CTCAGTTTCTCTTCTCCTTCTTCTTTTTCTTTTTTTTTGAGGCAGGGTTTCTCTGTGTAGCCTTGGCTGTCCTGGACTCACTTTAAAAACCAGGCTGGCCTTGAACTCACAGAGATTCATCTGCCCCTGCCTCCTGAGTACTGGGATTAAAGGTGTGCACCACTATTTGCTCAGCTTCTTCCTTTATAAAAAAAAAAAAAATGTTTTTTACATGCCTGGATGTCTTTTCTGCATGAATGTCTGTGCAACATGAGTATGCCTAGTAAGTACCCGTGGAGGCCAGGAGAGGTTGTCAGATCCCTGAAACTCGGTTTGTAAACCTCCTGTGGCTGCTGGGACCAAACCCAGGTCCTCTGTAGGAACAACCAGTGTCTTGACCCCTGAGCCATCTCTCCATCCTCCACCCCATGCCTCCATTTCTGATACAGTGGGAACAGCCTAGCTGCAGCTTTCAGAGTGTCCCATCACAGAAGAACATCTTAGTCATCAGGAGACAGCCACCAAGATCAGCAGCAGTTCTCCTTGGTGACCTCATAGCGAACTCCTTGCCTGCTTGGATTCACATACTTCCCAGTCTTCTCCTGTGCACCCGGCTCTGTGCTGGACTCTGGACACGTCAGGGGAGCCACAAGGCCCTGGGATGGTGTCTACACTATGGCAGTCTCCACTGTAGAGAAAGTGTTTCATGCACATGTTGTTGTTGTTTTGTTTTTTGTTTTTTTGCTTGCTTGCCACGAGTATAATTTCCTTACCCATCTTTCCCAATGCATCCTGGAACAGCCATGAACCACCCAGGTGTTCCTCCATGAAAGGGTGAAAGATGGCTGTTGACACAAGGCATCCCAGGGACATTGTGTGTGGAAAGCCTTGGTGCAGCTCCCTAGCCCACATCACATGTAGGGGATCTGGGGCCCAGAGTGTCAGGGAGCTACCTCAAACCCCAGTGATAGCTTTTGAGACTGTTGTGCCACAGGGTCCTAGGTCTTGGGCAGAGTGCTTTTGGGAAACCCTGCCACTCTGCAGCCAGGTACAGCATCTAGGGGAGAGGGTCCAGGAACTGAGAGGCAGTATGAAGATGCCTGCCTCACTGCCAAGGTCATGGTCTCTTCCTGGTCTCTTCATCTTCCTCCTTGCCTGACACCAGCTTACTGCCTTCAGTGACACTATGAACTATGACTATGAGCTAGGACACTATGACACTATGATGTTCACAGCAGTCTGCCCTAGATACAGAGATTTCCAAATAGATATCCTCTGCATAACTCCCTCAGTTCTTCCCACCATGGGCAAGATTGCCTGGTCAGCTGGGCTCACTGAGGTCACTTTCTTTAGAGTCCCTCCCCCCTGCCTGGCCCTGCTGGATTCCCTCAGATACACTCCTTCCTGTTCATGGGCCCTGCCATAGTCTCTCCTGCCATTTCTACCCGTGGGAATGTTCAGTCTCTACATTTTTTAAAGACATTTATTATGTATACAGTATTCTGCCTGCATGTATGCCTGCAGGCCAGAAGAGGGCACCAGATCTCATTATAGATGGTTGTGAACCACTATGTGGTTGCTGGGAATTGAACTCCGGTCCTCTGGAAGAGCAGCCAGTGCTCTTAGCCTCTGAGCCATCTCTCCAGCCTCATCAGTCTCTGCTCTGATGACCAGAAATTTCTTATGACCAGAAATGGGTCATAATATGCTCTTATAACACCACATATTAAGTGTCACATGCTATGGGAGGCGGGGTTGGGAATTCTCTCTCAGGGTTCTCAAGCACATCAAAAGAATTTAAGAATGCCCCAAAGGAATCCTGAGAAGAATTTTGTTGTAATTTAAAAGCAAGACCTCAGGGTAGGCAAACTGTAAATCTCAGTGTCTGCCTGGAGGAGAAAGATGAAGACAAAGCCCTGTGCTTGTGAGTGAAGCAAAGGGAGGTGGCAAGGAACTCCATGGCAAACGGGAAGTACCTTCGGAGAAAGTGACAAAGCTGGAAATACCAGAGGCAGTACACTCACACTCTGTGTGGATCCAAAACAAAGAGACAGAAAGAAGAGAAAGCAGTAACAAGGTCCCTCAGAAGCTCATGGTGGCTCCCCAGCTAGTGTGCCAAAACAAGGATGCTGGGAAGGAAAAGGCGTTTTCTCATTACAAGAATACTTATTCGTCCATTCTCTCCATGCGGTCTCTCTATCCATGTCAGAGGAAGATTCCATTCTCTCGACCAAGAAACAGCTCTCCCCTAACAGGTCTCCGGTTCCACCTTAACACTCTTGGATACTGCAGCCAGTCTCCCAGGAACGAGGCACAATTTTTTTGGCTGAAGACATGTCTTGCTGCGCTGCACAGGTTTGCCTGGCATTCAGCATGGCCTTGAACTCATGGTGATCCTCCTGCTTCAGCTTCCCAAGTGCCAGGATTCTAAGAGCGCTCCACCATGCCCACCGGAGAAGCGCACTTCGTGTAAACAGACTACAGCAATCAGAACCCACAAACCGACACAGCACGGCGGTGGGGTCCCAGTCCAGGCACACATGCTTTGACTGTTCTGATGGTGTCCTTTCTAGGGCCTCCTCCATGCCCCTGTTAGACAGACAACAAAGATGCCATCGACAAGGTTTGGTCAGCCAGGGATGTAACCACATTTCTAGTTAGGACGTTTTTAACCTATGAGGGTCTATTTGAGGTGTCACCAGACCTGCCTGAGTAGTCATCTGAAGCTCTGTCTTTCATGATCTCAACACCATCTCCTCCTTTCCCCCTCTCTTTCCTTTCTTCCCCTTCCTTTCTTCACCTTCTTTTCCATCATAACCCCCTTCCTTCCCAGACCCCGCTTCCCCTTTTACTTTTTATTTTTAGACAGGGTTACAAAGGCTGATGAGGACAAGTTACAAAGGCTGATCTTATCCTTGCTCTGTGGCCCAACCAGGCCTTGGACCTGCAATCCTCCTGTCTCACTCTCCAGAGTGTGGATCTTTTTCTGTTGGACAAAAGCAATGCTGCTGTACTTCACTGGCACAGCGGGAGCCCCTTCACCCTCAATCCACCTGGGCACGTCTGCAACAGCCCTCTCCTGCAGCAGGGAACCCGGTTTCCGTGGTCCTCCCTCCACTGGCTGTTTCCTCCAGGCTCTTCTGTATCACCCCCACTAAGCCTTGCTTTTGGGCTCTCCTGGATTCCTTGTATAGGTCTCTGCTGCTTGGGATGTAAAATGGGGCTGGCCGTATTATCTCCCCGGGCTGTGATAGAAATGCAATGATCCAATCAAGAAGGTCTCAGCGTAGCGCCAGTGAAAAGTACATGAGTTAAAAAAAAAAAAAAGGAAAGATGGAGGACATGAAAGAAATATGGAAGGGAAAGAGCTCCTCACTCCAGAATCTGGCTGGGAGTCATTAATAAGGCCAAATCACCACCAAAGCTTGTGCTCGTCTTCCTGAAATCTCAAACAGGATGTTGGAGACTGCAAGGTATGAGCGCCCCCCAAATGGCTCCGTGGATGAAGGTGCCTGCGGCCAGGCCTGACAATCTGAGTTCCATCCCGGAGACCCACATGTAGAGGGAGAGAACCAACTCCCTACCACAGGCTGTCTTCTCAGCACACACACACAGAAACTAAATGTTTTTTAAGGAAGTTCCCCCTCTCTTGCTTTGCGTGCACACCATCCTCTTCTTCCACGACTCTCTCAACGCTTAACAAACTCATTCAGTTTGCTTCATTCTGTCTGGTTCTTAAATCCTTTCTTCGGGGAAAACAGGACCTGGCTTTACCTGAGTGGATTCCTTAAGCAGAAAGGAACCTCTTTCGGCTGTGTCCTGCCCAACAGTGTGCAGTAGCATAAGTGTGACCTTAACCTTTGCCCTCCAGCCTCACCAGATCCTCAGAATCTCACTGCCAAGGAAACAAGCCTCCAGGTGCTCCTTGCCCTGAAGGGGAGTTATGGGAGTCCTGAAGGCCTCATGCCCCACCCTGGATGCTTTGGCGGGGGTGTGTGTGTGTGATGTAGGGAGACTGCATCCTTTGCAAGCCTAGCCTTGCTGTGCACCGTCCACTTATTGTCAGCCCTGGACGGTGAGATCTCATCCCACTTCTGTTGCCCAGGACTCGCCAGAGTCACAGCCTCTAGGACACTGTGACCTTTCCCACAGTTAATACTGTTATCACATCATAGAGTGATATTTAAATAACATTTATTTATCTTTGTGTGTGTGTGTGTGTGTGTACATTGGCATGTGTGAAGTCAGAGGACAACCTACAGGAGTCAAAACTCTGCTTCCTCCGTGGGGATCCTGGGGGTGGAACTCGGTGGGCAGGGTTGGCAGCCCTTTTACAGGATGAGCCATCAGGCTGGGACACAGATCCTACGGGGAAATGATTGCGAAGGGCAGTGTGTTGCTATGCTCCTCTGACACACAGTGTAGGTCCTACCAGGTTCCCCTCACGCCATTTTGTTTGTTTGTTTGTTTGTTTGTTTTACTGGGGTCCTTTTTGCTCACCACCTCACACACTGCTGCTGCCTTCCTGGTCTTGGCATGCTGCCCCTCATGACATGCCTGGTCTGACTTCTATGTGATGGCTTGGCTATATGTCTCATCTTACCTGTTCTGACATGTGCACCTGTGAGCCTGGTCCCTGCTAGGCGACTTCGTGGTGACTGCAGTGAGGGGAGTTCACGAATCTGGAGGCACTGTTCCCTGCTGAGCCCAGATCCCAGGCCTCTAGCCTTCCATGAGTCTTGCTGCCCCCACCCCAACTCCTGGCCTCACAGGTTAGGCCCTGGGGATCAGGCTCTGTTCTTCCAGAGCCTCTTTCGAAATGCAGACACCAAGAGGTTAGGCGTCTGCAATCTGGAACAGGGTGGGTGTACGGGCCAGGTCAGGGTGCCTGCACCTTGTAATAATCCTGGGCACAGCTGTGTACACTTGGAGAGGGTGGCCGTGCCAGCTCCTCACTTGCTTCGGTCACAGATGACTCAGCCTAGGGTGGGGCCACCCTGCTGTGCCTCTCAGAACTCCATCTCCAACCCAGCCTGGTCCCAGCCCACTGGGGCTCAGCACTCGGTCCTTCCTGTTCCAGCACTATATCCAGACTGAGGTGTCTGCAGCCCCGCATCTCAAGAGCCCTAGTATGAACTTCCTAGAGGCAGAGGGCGGCTGGAACCTGTCCTTCTCAGGCGCGGGCTACCTGGGCCTCTACCACATGGGCGCCACCCAGTGTCTGCGCCAGCGTGCTCCTCACCTCCTCCAGGGTGCCCGTCGCATCTATGGCTCCTCTTCAGGCGCTCTCGTCGCCGTGGCCATCATCTGCAGCAAGTCGGCAGGTGCTTGAGGGACATCTTGGGGTCCAGGGACCCCCGCAGGAAGCTCAACCTGGCAATGTGGCTTTACATGCAGCCTCTGAACCTGAGGGCTATAGTCACTTCTATCTTCAAAAATGGGGTCCTGGCTTTAGATTTGGGATATTATCCCTAAGGGCCCTTGGGAGTGCTGGCCACCAGGACGGGGCAGAGGTGTTAAGAACTGACTCCCAGGTGGACCGTTGTGGGGTGCGGGTGGAGATGTGGCTAAGAGTGCAGGTGGTCACTGAAGCCTTAGTCCCTCCCACCCTGCAGACTTCTGTTGCTCCAATCTCCTGGCCATGGTGAAGCACCTGGAGCGGCTGAGCCTGGGCATCTTCCATCCGGCCTATGGACCCATTGAGCACATCAAGAAACAGCTGCAGGACACGCTCCCTGACAACTGCCACATCCTGGCCAGCCAGAGGCTGGGGATCTCTGTTACCCGATGGTATGACGGCCAGAACTACATAATCACTGATTTTGCCACTCGGGATGAGCTCATCCAGGTGAGCCGGGGCTGGGTGAGGACCTGGGGCTGAAGGAGCATAGCCCATCGAATAATAGAGTGAACTGAGGGGTTCCTGTGGATGACCATCTGTGTGTGGGAGGGGGTGTGGCAAGAGCTAGACTGTATCCGAGACTGGCCCGAGTTCAAGAACCTCTAGGGGATGGTATGAAGAGGAATCTGAGGTGCTCCTGGGGCAGACTGAGGGGTAGTCGGATTCCACAGCCAGGACCTCTAGGGCAGCTCTGCCCTGCCCCACCCACCCACTCACCCCCATCTTCCAAGTGCTTTTTGATTGCCAGAGTAAAACATTTACTGAGCCTCTGTTATGTGTGGGTACTGTTGTATGCTATGATTTTTGCCAGAGACGAGCACATTCCGCTTGCCTTCTCAGGGCTGGTACCCAAGGAGCACACCTCCTGGGAGCGGGGTAGGAAAGGGCCTATGCTAAACTCAATCAGGAGACCAAGGCAGGGAAGGAACAGAGCCTGTGCTGACCTGACAGGGGCTGGCTTGGGGTATAAGCAAAGAAGGGCAGGGCCAGAGTGGAAAGCTTGGAAGGGATAAGGGTCTCCATATTGAAAGGCCTCAGCCCAGCGTTAAGAGCCCTATAGCATTCCTCAGTGTAGCTCCGTCCACCCTTCTTATCATGGCCTCTGTCTGCTCCTGGCACCGAGGGCCGCCTATGCTCAGCCTCATCTTGGTGCCCTCTATCCCACACTGGGGCTGCTGGAACACAGGTGTCCGGGTGTCAGTGTGTCTCTGATGGGGTGTCCCTTGCTGTGGGCTCATGCCCAGGGAGGAACCTCAGAGCCTGTCCCGGTTTGCTTACCTGGACAGCCCATACGAGGTAGTCAGTGAGTCTCAGCTGCCATCAACCGCGCCCGTCTGTGGGAAGGAGGGGCTCACTCACACTTCAAACCCTCAGAGCCAGGACAGTATGGGGAGTGCCCTTCAGGGTTGTCTGTGTTCCCTGAACATGGAGCCCTAGGTCTTCGGTGTTTGCCCAGCCCTTCCCCCCAGCAGAGTTGACCATGCTGGAGCTGTCCTTGCTCATCACATTCCGCATGTGTCTGTGAGCAGGTAAGACCCCAGGGTTGGTGCTAAGCATCTGTGAGCACATCCCATTACAGCTCGAGGCCAGTGCCATGTGGTCACATGATCAACCTATAAGTGAAAGCATCTCCCTCCCACCCCCACCCCATAGTACTTGTCAGGGCTCTTACTAGGAGATGCCGCCTCTTGTGGGGAGGAAGAACCTGGCATTCCTTCTCAGAGGAGCATCTGTTTGGCTCACCTCTGAGAACACTCTTTGGGGAGACACAGGTTTTTGATATCCCCTTCTTGCCAGACCCAGGGCGTGTGTGGGAGTTGGGTGCCTTGGTTTATATATTAGGGGACCTTCCGCTTACAGTCTCTAGGCAGCGAGGGTGCCCTCTGCAGAGAGACGAAGGAGGCCTGCCTTCAGTCTGTTCTTCGTCTGAGCACAAGAGCAGGTGTGGAGCACTGAGCAAGGATGATGGTCTTGTCTTCTAGGCTTTGATCTGTACCCTGTACTTCCCATTGTACTGTGGGACGATCCCCCCGGTGTTCAGAGGGGAGGTGAGTTTGTTCTGGAGGGCCCCTGTCTGCATCCCACTCTGGGCCCTGGGCAGCTAAGACAAGGGTTTGTCCAGAGGTGGAGATAGGAGTGAGGGTGCCATGCCTTGGTGAAGCACCTACTGTGTGCCAAGAGTCTCAGCCCCTGGGCCGGAAGGGGATAATGGACAGTAGCCAACATGATGAGGGTGTAGGGGAGGTACTGTGGCCCAACACCTTTCTTCCTTCCAGAGATACATTGATGGGGCTCTGAGCAACAACCTGCCCTTCTCCGATTCTCCCACCACCATCACTGTCTCTCCCTTCCACGGGACAGTGGACATCTGTCCCCAGAGCACCTCGCCCAGTCTGCATGAGCTAACCATCCTCAATGCCAGTCTGCAGATCTGTACCAGCAACTTCTATATGGGGTTTATATCCCTTTTCCCCCCCAAGCCTGAGGTAGGTCACCTTGTATGGTCCTTGCCCATGACCTCCCCCCTCAGCCTCAGTTACTGCCCAGCTTCAAGTCATACAAGCCCTGGGACAGAAACCTGAGCTCAGGTGGGTTCCGGCTCTTCTGCCCCTTCCTGGGTGAGGGCTAGAGCCTGGCCATGGCCTGTGCTTAGCTGGCAGACTCCATGAGCAGAAGTAATTAGTTCCATTTCTTTTTCTAGATTTTATTTATTTGTTTGTTTGTTTGTTTACTCATGTGCATGTGTGTGTGTGTGTAGCTGTGCATGTGAATGCAGTACCCAAAGAGGCCAGAAGAGGTCACTGGACCTCTGGAACTGGAATCAATAGGCAGTTGTGAGCCCCCCAACATGGGTGCTGGAAATTGAACTATATACTCCTCCACGGGAGCAGCCAGGGCATTTAACTGCTGAGCCATCTCTTCAGTAACTCGTTAGTTTTTGGTTTTGGAGACAGAGTCTTGCTCTGTAGCGCTGGCTGGCCTGGAACTCACCACGCAGACCAGGCTAGCCTCAAACTCTCGGAGTTCTGCCTGTCTCTGTCTCCCAAGTGCTGGATGAAAGGTGTGTGCCACCATGCCCTCCAGCCCCTACGGAATTTCACTTCTCAGAGGACACAGGCTCAGGCTGGTTAAGCCACTGACTCAGTCACACAGTCCAAGTGGCAGAGCCAAGATTTACTGTTAGTCCAGAATGGTCTTTACAGTAAGCTCCCAAGACTTCAGCCAGCGCACAAACACACACACACACACACACACAGGCACGCACACGCATGTACACAGAGTGAGATGGCTCATCAGGTAAAGACACCTGCAGTGTAAGCCTAGGGACTGAGTTTGAGTCCAGGAACCAACATAAAGGTGGAAGGGGAGAGATGACTACATAGAGCTGTTCTCTGAGCTCCACTTCCACTCCATCCCCTGTGGAGGAGGAAGGAAAGGGCTGCCCTGGGCTTGTGGAGAGCCAGGCGGAGACCCCCATGACCTGACCCAGGTCTTGTCACCCTGTCTGCCAGAGGGATACCTCAGAGGGAGGGAAGTGCCTGAGCTCTAGGTAAGGAGTGAACTGGCCGGTGGGAGGGGATGTTGGGAGCAGATCAGTACTAAGAGCAGACTCTGGGTCTCCCTGATCAGTATCAGGTCTCTGGGGGTTCCTGAGCCCTGCACAGGGTCACTGGGGTAGCAGGCTGGGCTGGGGCCGAGTCCACCTGCTGACAGGTCTCCAGCCCATGGCTTGTTGCTAGAGAAGCCCATGCGCTGCCCTCTCTCTGTTTCATGCGTCCCAGGTGGTGGCTGATTATTGCAGACAAGGTTACCTGGATGCCCTGAGGTTCCTGGAAAGGCGGGGTAGGTGACAGAGGGTAGCAACGGGATGGTGTCAGGTGGACTCAGCCTCTCTGTGCTTGAACCCTGGGACCTTAGTGCCTGCTCTCCTTGTGGCTTCCAAAGAGTGGGGCAGGGTGATAGAGATGGGGTCTGAGGGCGGGTGACAGAGGGAGTTCCAGAGATGAGCTGGGGCAGAGAAAGGTTTCATCTTGGCCTGAGGTGGGGAGAGTGACCAGAGAGAGCTTCCTGGAGGCGACAGCTGAGTTGGGTTGGGACCAGCTGTAGAGTGTCTGGTTGGGATGGGAAGACAGAGTCAGGTGGACAGAAGGGAGGCGCGCTCCGAGTGGCATGTCAGATGGCAGAAGGTGCATAGTCCCCAAGCTAGAAAGCTGTCACCCTGTAAGGCAAGGCTGAGAGATGAACTCAGGCTATACATTCTAGACCCGTCCTCACTCCTGTACTCCACCCCAACCTGCAGCACCTCACTCAAGGACAGAGCTTGGGAGTACTGCATTTAACTCTCATGCCAGCAGGCCTTAAGTTCTCTTTACAGAGGGAAACTGGGCAGAAAGGCTGAGGCTCACATGGCCAGCAGGAAGGAGTAGGACAGAATTTGAGAACAGAGCTGTGTCTTTGGGACTCTAGAGCAGGCTGGACAGCAGGGCAGGACCTCACTGGGGCCCATCCTACAGCCTGGGTGCTGTGAGCACTGAGACATGGGGGTGGCAAGACACCGTTTCCCCTGGAGGCTGCCACCGCACCAACCGTCAGATTTTTCTTCCTCCCAATCCAGGACTCACCAAGGAGCCAGTGCTGTGGTCACTGGTATCTAAGGAGCCTCCAGCCCTTGTGGAGGGGCCCAGGGACACTGAGCATGGCCAGAGCCGGGAAGATGGCCTGACTGTCTGGCGGGACACCCCTAATGTGCTGGTCAGGGATGTGCCGGACTTCGAGCTGCTGTCACCCGAGCTGGAGGCTGGTACTGCCCCTTCTCCTACCAAATCGGCTGCCTGAGCACCCACACCTGCCAAGTCCCTCCCAAATGTCAAGTGTGGCCGGGAGCTTTTTCTGTGTCATTTGCTCCCGACTGCAGTCTGGCACTATTTTCACTGGCGGTGGAACCTGAGGCTCTGAGCGAAGGAACTCAGTAGGTTTTCCTGTCTGCTGTTGGGGTACTGTGCCTGGGAAAGGCAGGTTTGTGCCCAGGCCACAGCGAGGTGCTGAGAGGCAAACACATGGATGGCATTGGCATCCCAGAGACACTTCAAACGGGGGCTGCCAGTCAAAGGTGGGGGGGGTGTGAGTTTGGGCAGAAGGCACCACATGTACAAAGGCCTTAGGACTATAGAGGCTGGGCCGGTAGGTCTCTGAGGTTATAGCATAGTGGTTGGGTGACATGGCAGACATAATGACTGGATAGACAGGAGGTGAGAGCTAGTATCCTGATTACTTTCGTATTGCTGTGGGAAAACACCATGACCAAGGCAACTTATCGAAGTGTTCGGTTTGGCTTACAGTTCCACGATGCTGGCAGAAATAGTTAAGAACTTACACCTCAAATTGCAAGTAGGAGGCAGAGAGCACGCTGGGCTGGTGTGGGTCTTTTGAAATCTCGAGCCCGTCCCTGGTGCCACACCTCCTCCAACAAGGCCACACCTCCTATCCTTCCCAAACACTTCCACCAACCAAGGAACAAGTATGCAAATAAATGAGCCTATGGGGGCCATTCTCAGTCAAACCGCAGCTGGGGAGCCCCGGAGGTGCAGTGGAGCTAGTGGGAGGGAGCAGAGGCCAAAGGGTTTGAGATGACAGTGAAGGTTCAAGAAGAGACAGTGGGGACACTGAGGAAGTGAGGGGAAAGGAGAGAGCATTAATTTGTCTCTGGAAGGTTTTTGGTCTGCACCGAGCCCTAGGTCCAGGCTTCTGAATTTGGAATCAGTGGCCACGCACTGCCGCTGGCTAGGTTAGGAAATGCGAGAGTGAGTTTAATGCTCAGATGCCCTGGGGTCCCTCCTATCGCCTTGGAGGGCTGCTCTGCTGGGGACCCATTTCCTGTGACTAGGGGATAGAAGGAGTTGGATGTTGTCTCTTGGCTGTAAACCTCAGACCTTGATGCCAAACCTGAGCTGCAGTCCGAGCTACCGGTAGTCTCGGGTGCTCTTCTGGCTCTTGATCTGTGCCAGTCACTCCCACCCTGCTTATCCTGGCAAACAAGGGGAGCTGGCAGCGTGGATGCTGGGGTGCCAGCTGCTCTGAGGCTATTGCTGTGAGAAAGGCCTAGGGACACTTGTTCGTCTAAGGCGTCAGGACAAACTTCTCCTGGGAGGAGGAGAGGAAACTAGAGCTCAGTACAGGAGCCTGGAGACCTCAAGGTTGTCTTGGCTCCACCTCTTCCTGGAGGGGACTCTCACCACACTAAACCTCAGTCTCCTCTATCGAGGCCTCAGAGGGTTGAACGGGCATGGACAGGGCGACCCCTGCTGGCGGTGATGGCTTCATCAGTGTGGGGATGCTGAGAGTGGTTACTATGGGCATCTCCCTGGCACCCCAGTGCTTGGTGGCCCCAGGGTGGCCCCGGGCTGGCTAGGGGAGACAGCGCCACAGCCTGAGGGTACCAAGGAGCCGTTGGCCTCTTCGTGTCTTGCAGCACTGAGGAAAGCATGCAAACGGGACTTCTGGGCCCGTATCCAGTGCTCGGTGCCAGGGAGGGCACTGACCTACCTGCTACTGCCTTGTACGCTGCCCTTTGAGTATGTCTACTTCCGGAGCCGGAGGTGAGGTAGCCGGGGCTGAGGGAGGCAGGCTTATGGCCAGTGAGGGTGGTTGGGTGGCTAGAGCTGGCAGGCACCTGCCTTCCCCACACCACCTGCCCATGGAGCTCCTGGGTAGGCTCTGCCAAAGACAGGTGATGTGGCTGGCTGCACAGAACCTAGGCTGTTCTGTGACCTTCTGCCCTCCGCTCCATGGTCAGAGCCTCCTCGACAACGTGATGTCCCTGGCAACTCTCTTAGCTGGTCCACCTCAGATTGGCTGTGCGGTGGAGGCCAGTTCCCTTGACCTCTCTGGGTCACAGCAAATTTCCTGAAACCAGGGCTCCTTCAGGTCATTCTGGCTGTAGTTGAGCGCCCCCTGCTGAGCATTCTACCTTGCTGACTTAGTGGACCATGCTCCTTCATTTGCTCACTCAGCAGCTTCGGAGGTGTTAGCTCCGGGCAGGAGCGGCAGGCTGGTCTTGGCTTCCGGCCTGATGGAGCACACAGCTCACAGTCACCCATTTTTAGCTTCTAGGAGACAGCCACACAAGCACTGAGCTAGCCCTGTCCATACTCAGAACTGTTTGTCCAGGGAAGGCAGGCAATGACCTCTGCGTCTTTAGGATGGGTCACAGTCTATTCAGGAAAGGAGAGGAAAAAGCCTTCCAGGTGGGCAGGGTACTGTATGCAAAGGTGCTGGGGCAGAAGGGAGTCAACCACATCTGAGGAACCCAGGGCAGGAGAGCAGGGCTGTAGTGAAAGCTGCTGTCTGTATGAGATGGGGTGTGAGGGAGTGGCCGGGGCCAGGCACACAGAGTCTGTGGTCAGGTGAGCGAGTTTCATCCAGACACAGAGTCCCAGTAGGGAGATCTGATGTTTCCTTCGAGGAAGGATCTTGCTAATCTTGCAATCCAGAGAGGTCTTGAACTCAAGACTTCCTCTGCCTGGTACTCCCGCCATGTGCCCCAACACCAGGTGTGAGATCTGTGTCTCTAGAAACACCCCTCTTCTTTAGAAGTTTATGATGGGGCTGAGGATGGGGAGATGTCTTGGCGGTTACGAGCACTGGCTGTACTTCCAGAGGTCCTGAGTTCAATTCCCAGCAACCACATGGTGGCTCACGACCATCTATAATGAGATCTGGTGCCCTCTTCTGGCCTGCAGGCACACATGCATTATTATAAAAAATAAATCTAGATGGAGAGCCCCAGGACTCTGCTGTAGTTAGTGATAAGGTCAGCGTTGGTGTGAAGCAAACAGTGGCCCAAACCTGCAAGAGACCTTTCTTCTGAGAGACTTGCCTGTTTATAAAACCGCAGGCTGGTGGAATGAAAATGAAGAGATGTCAAATCCAGCCTCTTCCATGGTGTGAGCCTGCTGGAGACAGCCCAGAGCACACTGCAACTACCCTTCCTATTTCCTATAACCCACACATGGGGCATTTGCAGCAGGAGGAGGCACCGGCCTCTTTAGGACACATGGATGAATGATTTGGGGCAGGAAGAGGGAGGGATGGAGATAAGGAGAGCAAGGGACGACAGGCAGGTGAGGAAAGCTGAGGCTCTGAAGGGTGCTCTGAATCCCCAGGCTGCACAGCAGAGTAGCCTCCAAGGTAGCCCAATAGCACATTCTGCCCTTTGTGCCCCAGGCTTCTCACTGGAGCTCCGTGGAGGCTGACCCTAAGGTCCATCCCTCCCACAAGTCCAAAGTCTGTTTCAGGTCACCCTGCCATGCATGTGCCCCCCGGGACCACCCTGAGATGAGCTTGGCTCACCTAGGCACCCCTCCGTCTCCTCTCTCCAGCTTTGCCTGGACTGCAGGGACTACCTTTGATCTGGACCCATCCCAGGGCTCCCTGGGAAGCTGACATTGCCCCTCCCACAGGCTGCTGCTGTGGCTGCCGGAGATGCCAGATGACCTGTGCTGGATGCAGGGCCTCCTGAAGAGTACAACCCTCAAGGTCTACGCCAAGGCAAAGAGACAGCTTCTCAGGCTGGGCAGGTGAGACATGAGGTGGGGGTCGGGGGCTGGAGCATTTGCCGGGATGTCAGCATGCTGACCACATTCACTACCCCAGCACTCAGTGCCCAGCACCCAATTTGTAGAACCCAGAACCTAGCACCTAGCACAGAGCATTTGTTTAGCGTCCAGTACACATACCGTGTCCTTCTGTCCATCCACCGGAGGAGAGCTGTGTGTGCCACTCAGTATCTGCGGTCTCTTAGCCAGTCACACTGGTCAGTGTGTGCAGTTTTCTGGGGCTGCTATGGCTCTGTGGTTGGTAGAGATTCCCCCACAAGCCTCAGCAAGGTTGGCTGTACGTGGCCCAGGCACTGCTGGCTGTCTTCTGACTGTTTCCCTGCTGTAGGAGATGCCCTGTACCACCCTGTCCATATTCTTTTAGGAAAAACTATCCTGGAGTCCAGATATTTTCTTGTTTGATCCTGCTTAGGGCTTGAGACTTTCCTCAGAGGTCTGAGACTGAAGTAGCTCGCTCCTTGTAAGGGCTGTCTCTTATGGTGTAGCCTACCTTCACCAAACTCCTGGTCTGGAATTCACAACATGTTTCCTGCTCTCTCTGCAGCTCATATATCAGCGCAGTCTCTGCTCCCCTCCAGCTGTGGACAGCTGCTCCTAGGAACCGGGCCTCGAACGTCAGGCTTACTGATCGTGCACTGGGATAGGTCATGCACATGTGTGACGTGACCCCCGAACCCTGTCCTTGCCCTCATCCTGTGTGCTCATGCCTGCCTCTTGCAGTGGGGACTCTGGCAGGTGGCCTGTGTCAGGCTCATACTCCAGGATCTCTGAGTCCAACTCCCAGCTCAGGGAAATTGCTGTGTTACTGGCAAAAAAAAAAAAAAAAAAAAAAAAAAAAAAAAAAATACTTGGCTTCCTGCCAATGCTGGGCCTCATCCTTCTTGTGTGGGCAGGTGGCTTCCTGGAGTGGGACGAGGGCTCCTCCTGCAGCTGCTCCTAGGACCCAGGGCCTCTCTGGATGCTTCCAGGCTACTGTGAGCCCAGGCCACCGCCCTCTTCCTGACCATTTTGTCAGGGGAGAAAGGACAGAACAAGCTAAGACATGTCTCAGTTCTGGATCTCCATGTGGGGACACAGAGGGGGCAGGAAGAGATTATTCTGCACTAGAGCAGTAGGCTGGAGTCGGAGCTGGCACCCCAAGGCCCCGATCACAGTAGTGACTGCTCTGACAGGGTTCCCCCACCTCCTTTCTCTGGCCTGCACTTATCTGAGGGGTTGTGAGTGCAGATGGAAGGTGGGGGGAATTCCCAGGGAAATCTTGAGCATAGATCCTTCTGTTGGGGATGGAGCCTACCGCCACTACAGCTTAGTTCCTTGGGAAGGTTTCTGGGTGGCACACATTTATAGCTCCTTCGGCCTCTCCTTGGGGTCTCTGTTCTTCCTGTTTCTGAAGAACCCACACTGTGCCCCTGGTTAGACTGTAGGGGACACTCAGCCTGAGCGGAGATGGGCCTGTAGAGAAATGGGGGTGCCAATGAGAGACGAGATTATGAAATACATAGTGGGCAGAAGAGATGATGTGTTATTCAGTCATTCATAGATTATGCATACATTGATCATTCATCTATCATGGGTTCGCCCATCATTCATTTATTCACCATTTATCATTCATTCATTCATTTGGCTCCCAGATGGAATACAGATGGGACATGCTGCCACAAGCCCTACCAGGGATGCTTAGAAGAGAACACAATGAGTGAGGATGTGAAGACAAGTGGAGAGATATAGGGACCAGGCTGTTCAGGAGGCTGCCCCAAGAAGGCTTCTGTTGAGCTGAGATCTGACAAGAGGCCAGGAGTTTTGCAAGGCCCTGCAGGGAGCAGCAGGCGCAGAGGGCTGGCAAAGAGAGTGAAGCTCTTGTCACAGCGTGACCATAGCTGTGGGAGAGAGAGGGTGGAGGACATGCTAAGAGCCACAGGCAGGTGGTGGCAAGGCTGTGTCACCAAGGAGTTTGAAGATTTCTTAATTTTTATTACATGTGTTTATGTGCACCACTTGTATGCAGGTGCCCACAGAAGCCAGAAGGTGGTACCCACACCCCTGGAACTAGAATTATAAGTGGTTGTGAGAGGCCCGCTGTGGATGCTGGGAGCTTAGGTCATCTGCGGGCCTTCTCTCTAGCCCCATCACCAAGGAGTTTAGATCAGGGCAAGGGATGAAGTAATGAAATGAAGAGCTGGTGCAGGGTCTGGGGCCGGGGTGCAGGTCTATAATCCAGCACTGAGGAGGCAGAGGCAGGGGAAATGTCAAGTTCCAGGGTACCCTGGGCTGTACAATGAAACACATCTAAAAGAAAAGAACCTCCTCTCCCCCGCCAAAACCTCAGCTGTGAGCCAGTGGCACAGGGACAGCCAGGGCTAAAGGGACCAGGAGGGCAGACAAGCATGAGCAACAGGCTCCCCACCCTCCGGGAGTCCCAGGGCTGAGCGAGCCTCACATACTTGCTGTCTCTCATGTCTCCCCCATGGGGCAGACACAGACTTGATTCCTTACATCAGGGAGGGGGCTGCCTCTCTAGGGGTTAGGTGGTTCCAGAAGGTCGTTCTCTGTCCCTGCTGAGCTGGGGGCACTGCCATGGTCCTAACTCTCAGATTCCAGTGTGATGTCATTTCACCCTGACCAACTGGGGCTCCAGGCCAGGGGACTTGACTCTCAGGACACTCTTGAGAGCATTCTCATCCACGGCCTTTGTATCTTATCATGGACACGGCCTCTATGCCAACAGCTCCTCAGCCTCCCCTTTCCACGTCATCTCCTCACTCCACAGGGGACCTGCTGGGATGAAGGAAAGGCTGGGTGCACCACCACACACATTGGGGTTGAAACTCAGGGCTTTATTGATTACTGGGCAAGTGTTTTACCAACTGGGCTGCATTCCAGGCCCTTCGTGTGTATGTGTGTGTTCTGTGCATGGGTGTGAACAGGGGTAGAGGTCACAGGAAGACTCTGCGTGTCTTCCATCACCCTCTGTCTTGTTGACCTGAAGGAGAATCCCTCAATGAAGTGGGAATTCACCCTATTGGTTAAACTGATCAGCTAGTGTACTCTTGGGATCTGTCTGTCTTGACTCTCAATGTTGGAACTACAGGCACATGCAGCCACACCAAGCATTTTCTTTAAAATGTGGGTCTTAGGGATTTGAACTCATGACTTAATGCTTGCACAGAAAGCAGTCTATCCATGGAGCCATCTAATAAGCCCTTCTTAGGTCTTTTAAATGGATGTCAGTGTGCTGTGGGATGCGCACAGCTAACTTTTCCTACATCAAAGGGGGTGTGTTTACCATGTCACAAGTCACTCCTGGTGTTGGTGTTCTGAGACAGCCTCATGTAGCCCAGATGGACCTCAAACTCCCTGCATAGCTGAAGATGGCCCCAGACTCCCGACTCTCCTTTCTTCTAGCTCCCAAATGCTGGGATGATGGGCATGTGACACCATGCCTGGCGGCTCACCCTGATCATCACTTTCAGGTTGTGCTTCTGTGTTGGGAAGTGTTTTTTTTTTTAAAGTGCTGTGCCTTAGAGATCTGTAGGGAAGTGTGCATCACAGAGAAAGCACAGAGATACTCCAGTGTGCACATCTGTACACTCTGGGTATGTAAGTGTGCAGGTTAAGCTGGGAAAACATGAGCTGATGGTAGACTTTGTGTGAGGAGATGTGACAGGTGCATAAAGGTCATCTCATTCTCTCAAATTTTGGCATTTCCAAACCCAAGAAAAATTTATTTAGTTAGCTAAATTGCATTCACTTAAATCACACTAATTTAAACCACATTTTTTTCCCATTCAAGTAAATTTGCTCATTCAAATCTTTATTTATTCATCCATTTATCTCCCTCTCTCTCTCTCTATTTTGTGTGCATGTGTGTGAATGTGCCCCAGCAGATGTTCGGAGGTCAGAGGGCAAACTAAGAAATACGTCCTCTCCTCCCACCACATGGGTTCTGGCAACGGAACCCAGGTCGCAGGCTTGGTGGCAGGTGCCTCTACATCTTGCAAGTCCTGACCTTAAGATTTTTAATAGTACAGGGAAACAGGAGATTGTAAGTGGAGCTGGGTTGCTGAGTACATTGGGAGGTGTGTTTTCAAAGAGTTCTTATCTCTTACAGATTGGAGGGAAGTATGCCTTAGAGAGAGCGCGCACAGATAACCCAGTGTGTAAGCAGGGCCAAGCTTCGAGCGTTCAGCACCGCGGACAGCGACAGGGCGCGCGTGGCTCTGACAGCAGCAGTCGCTGAGCACAAAGGTCCTATTCTACACTCTGTACACCTCACAGGCTTACTGCAGGTTCAGCGCTGTGCCATCACTCCGAGGGCCCGTCTCTTTCCATTATCACCAGGTTTTCTTTTCATTTCTCTTTTGTCACATTTGTACAGTTTTTTTGGCATAAAATGCTTGCCTGGGTTTTCTTAGGTTACTTCTTTCTTTCTTTCTTTTTTTTTTTTTTAACTGTGAATGTTCTCAAAAGCTTAGACCTCAAATGTTTGTCCAAGTGTGTGCAATCAGAATGGACTTTGGTTCGGTGGCTGGCCATGTCTACCCTGAGCGAACTAAGCTAACTTCTTAGCTGCACTGGTTTTTGTTTCTTTGTCGAAGATTCCTGTGAGTATCTTTGTTGAGGGAAGATCTTCTTTAGGGTTTTATTCCGGAAAAAAAATTAATCCTATTGAAAAGCTTACTGCCACTGTGGAAGGCACAATAATGGTCCCCCAAGGACGCCCACATTCTACCTGGGAACTCGTGAGAGTAATGCCATGTCAAAGTGAAAGGAAAGTGTACACAGCCTTGAGGTGAATGTCTCAGAGCCAGGGATCAAAGTTTCCTCAAGAGTGGAAGAGGAAGACAGGAGGAGAGGGGAGGCACCGAGGATGGGAAGTGATTACAGCCTAGGTAACTCACAGGAAGAGCTGGTACACACCTGTAATCCTGTCAGGGACTAGCAGGGAGGACCTGGTATTCAAGGCCAGCCCTGGCTAGGTAGCAAGACTGTCTTAGAAAGGAAAACACATTAAGTTTCAGCTTGGCAATACAGAGCATGGAACTCTGAATGCAGGGATCGGGTGTGCTTGACGAAGCAGGGTTCAGAGCGATGCTCATGTCTGTCCTCACTCCTGTCATCATGTGACATCACTCACCACTGACATCATGTGACCGTGGCTGAGCGCAGCTCACAATGCTGCTTGTGCTTCAAGGGCACCGGAATCTGTTCTCAGTCTACCTGCAAGTCAACACCCTTCAGACCTCCGTCTGCAGACCCTGGTCTGTTTGAACTGTGTGTGGAATCACACAGGACCAGTTGTCTTTCGTGCCTGGGCTTCTTTTGTCCACACTGAGATGGCCGCTTACCCGGACTGTCACATGTGCTGGTTAGTTTTTTGTCAGCTTGACACAAGTTAAGAGTTATTTGGAAAGAGGGAATCACAATTGAAAGAAAAAAAAATGCCCCCGTCAGATTGACCTGAAGACAAGTTTGTGAGACATTTTCTTGATTAATAATTGATGGGAAGGGCCAAGCCCATTGTGGATGCTCCCATCCCTGGGCTGGTGGTCCTAGATCAAATAAGAAAGCAGGCTGAGCAAGACACGGGGAGCAAGCCAGTAAGCATCACCCCTCCATGCCCTGTGCTTCAGTTCCTGCCTCCAGGTTTCCACTTTGAGTTCCTGCCCTGACTGTTGAGTTCCTGCCCTGACTCTTTGACATAGCTGCAGCCATCTTTATGTTCAGCTTCCATTT